TGGAGTCTCTACATAGCCGCTGAAACTCGCCCAGTATGGGTGTGGCATTCACGCGATACAATCTCTGAGCCCTTATTGCCCCCCATCCAGGAAGATTTTCGACCATATAACGGCAGCTGTGGTGAAGGGGGAGCTTCGAATTCGCACTGTAGGGAAATCTGAGAAATCATTCTTATCGTGAACTGTGCCTTCAAAGGTTCAAGTAACGATAGCGAATAATTGACCTTTGAAAGCAGCCCCTTTTGGCAGAGTGTTTTCTGTGATGCGCTATGCATCCTGAGATGGAATGAATTTTGGCCAGAGCGAGTTCGAACCCATAAAAAAACCAAAGCTTCGTCAAATGGAATTCCAGAATAAGAGACAGAACAGAACAGATATAGAAAAAGATTGATGAAAACCAGGAAAAGGATTATGCAGTGATTTCCTGCCCTTCATAACCAGACAGACCCATGAGGACTCCATCAGTAAAAATGCAATTCAAATCCAATGTGTAAGGAAATAACTGGCACGTTCATGTGTACTTTATTACATTTTGCACTCTGAATGGAATCTGAAATGCAAGAACCATGGGTACCATCGAAGTTGGACTCGGAAAATTCTCTCTGACAAATTTCTTTGTAATAGGAAATTTCAAAAAAGGCATCATAACATCCAAAAATTCGCTGATTTTCATAAATTTCATAGCCGTAAAGAAATGCGATGTAAAGGGTCCAGAAAACAAAAATTAAAAGTAAAAAATTCGAAAAATTGTTGAATGAGACGAAGCTCTAAGCTGTCCCATAAGATCGGCGGCGATTGTACCCTTCCTCCTCCCGGGCTGAGAGGAATCCAGTCATCGAAGGCAAATAATCATTGATTGCGTGGGTACGCCTTGACCCAAGATATCTCACGTGAATTTGAAGATATAGTGGAGACAGGAGGGTTAAACAAAAACAAGAGGATGAGAGCAAAAGAACATCAACGATGAACGCATGAAAATATCCCGTAGGGGTGAGGTGATTGCTTGTCGAAGAACGTGGGCGGTGCGGGAAGCTAAGAGCGATGAGCAGCAGGATTTATGGGATTCGGAGTGGGGGAATTTGGGTGATCCGATAGATCAATATGCGGGATAGAAAAAAGCAGAGAGGGAGAGAGGAGGGAGGGGCTCATAGAAGCGGCTGCTCACAACAAACGGCGACAAAGACACCGGCACAGCGGGGAGAGCGCAGAAATACACGCGGTGATCGTGGAAAGTTGGCAACTCGGAAGTCGCTGAAAGGCCCCCCCCCCTCCTCCCATTCAGATCTGAACTCAAATCGATCAGAGTTCTGAGCACTAAAAATTGAAAGGGCCTGTAAAATCTTCTGACCGAGTCGTAAAATTATAGAGCTTTTTTGCTACTAACGAACAATGCTGTAAATCTCGCTGACGCAAGCTGAGCAGAGATAACGAAACCGCGAGGGGAACGGAAAATGGAGTGCTGCGGATTTCAGGGAGGTTCTACTGGGAGGAGCTAATCGGTTCTTCCGGTACTGATAGTGTTGTCAGCAGCAATTAACTGCTACATCGACAGAGCGGCAAGTGTCATCGATCACTCCACTGACAACACAGAAATCCAGACAACACCACTCGGGTAATCTGCCGCGATTTCCCACAAAAAACCCAGTGGCTTCTGCTGCGATAGAAATCTTGAAAGAGTAAGATTTGCGAAATGCTCCGTTATATGAGAATTTCAGTTACATGGGCTTTGAGTTCTGAAATAACACCCGGAAAACACTTGAATAGCTTTAAAAAAAGATTTTGTTCGGCCATTGCGGACACAATGAAAAACATTACTACAACATGCCCGCTGAACAACCTTTCCGGTACGCAGCATCCGGAGCTATTTCGTCGATTCGGACAGATCTCTTTTTTGAACATTCCGAGCGTAACGTCTGTGAACCCACTCTAGCTCAAGTTCATCCTCAAAGCCAGCCCACAAAGGCCTCTATAAAAAGTACATTTGATATTTCGCTAATAAATTGTAGGTAATATGATTACATCGAGATACGAATAAGCGCAATCAATGGAGGTTTGGTTTAGAGAAAAGTATCAAGATGAACTGGGGAGAGTCGAGAGAATCGTTCGTCATCGCTGTCTTCTACATCACTTGGCCACTACTTACGAACTCGTACCTGGCCCCGATTAGGCAAAATAGTAGAGTAATAAATTACACTGATGACTTAGTACCATGGATCTCCATCACTTAGGGTTCTCTCCCCGTAGTATGTTTCTCCTATCGGTTCTTGAAGAGACTAACTGGCGCGATGCCAGCATTCTCTTAAGGGAATTAATAGCAGACTGAAAATCACCGGTACCCGCCCAGAGACGCAAGTCAGGGAATGGACTCCCTGTTTTTGCTGTGCTGGGTCAACTCATACCTTCTGTTTCCTCGCAAGAGCATCCATGCATACCTTGGTGGGAAGTCTACGAGTTTGCCGAGTATCGTGCACATCGGTTCAGCTAAAGGCTTGCGTTCGAGTGACTGAGAAGTAACAGGGAAACTGTTTGGGCTGCCTCCGACGGATTAGCCCCTTGTCCACAATGGGACAGCCTAGCCAGCTGCCTGGAGTCTCAAGTCGGGAGACTTCAGGCATCTGGCTAGCTGTCCCATTGTGGAAAAGGGGCTTAGGCCGTCTCGCCAAAAATTCATGACCATAATCGTCCGCTCAAAAGGAAATCTTAGAGGCGATCTGTAATTTTAATGCAGGAACGCTTGCAAAGGAAGAGTGTTTCGAAAATTCGCTGATGCAAGCTAGGAATATCAAGTACAATGCTAGCGAACTGACCGAGACGAGGAGGCATCACTCTCTGCACGCCATATTCGAAATTGGGGAAAAACTGTTCTCGGAACATGCAACAGCAGAGGCGTCGGCGGCGTGGTGTCCTCATTCATGCACGTTTGGCAATGAAGGTCGATTCGTACGACAGCTTGACATCGAATTGGAAGGATGTGTTATAAAAAATGTGGCTCAACCCAGCTCCAAGATCTTCGTTGTTCACACAACAACATCGAGCTACGAGTTTATCATGTGTCCACACTGTAGATGATCATGCGCAGTTCAAAAGTTCTCCCATTTGTACATGGACATGGGTGTCTTATGGCGGACACAATGAAGTAGATCAGACTTGCTTCATTAGGAAGCTAGAGCCTGAATGAGGTCACTTTTGTTTCGAAGTTCTTCACGGGATCGGACCATCGTCTACAGTCCGTTCCTCAGCTATTGGAGAGGGAGCTGTGAGTGTCAACTGGGATCACTTCATTTGTGACTTTGTGAGATGCCGTTAGCGCGAACAATGATGAAGAATACCGGCTATCCGAACATTCTGACGATACTGCTAAGAAAGCAGAGAGTCTACATGTGGCCAACGATGTCTCTCTTTAAAGACCTTCGGGCTGAAATGTAAGCATGGAATGGCGTGAGCTACAGGCAATCACCAACAAACCACTCTAGCGCCTATCGTTGGGGCCCAATTTTGAAGAAAAATAGATTAATGAGCACAATGGGGTAGCCGGCCAGCTGCTTGGAGTCTAAGCCGGGAGAGGCTGCTAAAATCTTAGAGCGAAATAGGGCTGATTAAAGGGAGAAAAGCTAAGATGGTAACGCTTGCATCGGAAGCGTGTTTTGAAGATTCGATGATGCGAGCTAGGAAGATGAAGTACGGTGTCATTGGATTGCCGAGACGAGAAGGCATCACACGCTGAACGCCAAATTCAAGGATGGAGAAGAGCTGCCCCTTGGAACATGCAA